AAATGTGCTTATTTCTGTGAAAGAGTACTACTTCTGAAATACTGATAGTGAGGAAGACAAAATGCTGCTAAATCAAATCTAGATTTTTATTACATTTTTAATCATGAACCTGCTGCCTGACCAAGGCCCGCTACAAATTCTTGCTTTAGAAAAATCTGGCCATTTTTGCCTAGCTTGTTTAAGTGACAAAGCAGAACTTTAAATAGCAATAGCTTCATCTGTAACTAGAAAACCAAACAACCCTGTCTTTGCAAACTGTTTAACAGACCATTATAAAGATATTAAGATAGCATAAGCGAAGTTCATGCCTCTTAACTTTGACCTTCTAAGAATAACAAAAAAATGTAACATTTCTAGGATTGTCCCTGCTTTAATACCAAGATGTTTTCTCTGAGCCCCTCACATCGTATATTATAGTTGTGTTTTCCAACTCAAAGACTCTGCTCTTACTGTCCCTGAGCAACAACAGATGAATATACTATCAGAAACACAAGAGCTGGAAAGCTGTAAATACCACGGCTGAGGCCATCATTAATACTCAAGGCTTTGGTTTAATGGCATCAAGTGCATTTATTATACTTCAGATGGTTTAGAGTAACAGACAGAATGGATGTGTATATTTTATGTTCTGGATGACTAACCAATTTAATCTTTCTAAATGGATGAATGGTTTCAAGGTTTATGAGAAGCAACACTAATGCTATAAAGTCTGCAAGAGAGCCATTTGTAGTGAAGCCAAAGCCGCAAAGTTTTATAATCTTTTTCCCTTTTGTTTAACCCTTCCACCTGCTGCTCAGTCCGCCTCTTTTAGTTAAATGAACCGTATTTGTTAAGGTAGCTTTGGCTTCTTGCATTTCACTGCTGTTAGAACGCGTAACGTTCAAGCCATTAGCACCACATCTTATTACACAAATGGTAAAGGACCTTCCAGCAGACTTTGCCATGGGAAAAAAAAGACTTCTTAAAATTAAGAGATGAGCACACTTCATAGGCCACTTCCCAGCCTCTTGTAAGCAGAAAAACTTCGGTCAGATCTCCACCTAAACTAACAGATAATTTGCTCCTAATTGTGCAAGTTTGTCTCTCAATAAAGCGCTCAAAAATCACTTCCCTCTTGACAAGCTCTTGGCGCTGCACTTTTTCTGCTGCAGCTGATGACAGGACTGGGAGAAGGACAGGGCTGTTCTGGAAGACAGATGGACGTGTGGGTTTTCTGTTCCTACGTGCTGGTGCTGCCATCTGAAGCTGACTGGTGGAGAAGTGGGCCGGGGCAGACACCACCCTTCTCTCCCACTCCCCTTTACTGGGCACACAGCACCTTTGTCCATCCGCGTGTCAAGGTCGCAACGCAGCCATGGCTACGTGGTAGTTAAAGCAGGAAGAGTAAGAGGGAAAGACAGTGCCAAGCAGTATAAAAAAGGCAAAACCATATTGTAGCAATGTGGATTGAGCCTATGAACAGTGAGGAAACCTTAGCAACATGCCTTCTGCTTTCTTGGAAGGGCACTTGGTAGCAAATGCATCATTGGGTCAATGTGGCTTTACTGCAAATTGTCAAGTCGAAGTCTCAAAATTACATGCTCCGAAACAGAAATAGCCACTGAGGCAGCAGTGGGGGTGGGAGAAGAATCTGTCTGAGACACACCTGGGCAGAAGATGTTTCTGCAGCAAAATTCAGTTGCTACAACTTTTTTTTCCATGAATCCAGCTTCTCCCTGGTTCTCCCTGCCAAAGGCATGTACATTTAAGAGCATGCCATAACTTCAGTTGGCATTACGGAGACAACAGTATAGTGCCTACTTTACAAACTCGTAGCATCAGTTGGGGAGTACAGTGGTAAGGGAATGTTTGTTTT